TTCGTAAAATTTTTTAATTCTCAAATAGTTAAAATAATGGCATAAAATCCTTGAAAAACGGTAATTTTTTCAAAATGGCGACATTTGCAAAAAAAATATGGTTTTAATATTTGCATCAGTGGGCATATCCGTGTCGGCTTCTTTAATCCTTTCAAAAATTACAAAATTTTAAGGACTTTGTATCATTGTGGCATAACCAGTACCACCACCACCACGACCGGAAACGAATTTACCAGACCATACTAATTAACATTTATAACAGGTCGAAACAACTTAAACCAACCGGTGTCTACTTGATTTAAAACATTTATTAAAATACCGGCATTTTACTTTTTATGTATAAGTTTCTACAAATACTACATTTATAAATACATTTACAATACAAATATAAATATGAGTATATAATTTGCTAATAATAATAATAAAATAATCAATCAATCATTGATTTATCGCAAAAAGCCTTTACTTTAAGCGATAAAAAATTTTTTTTCAAACTAATAATTTAATAAAAAAAAAAAAAAATGCAGGTTATCAAACAAGGTATATTACGTGTAGAAAAAAAAAAACCGAAAGTAGAGACAGACGTCTAAGAGCCAAATTCTTGTTTAATCCTTGACCTATTTAAAAAAATATTCCATGCAACCCAACAACAACAACAACATGTATTATTATTAGAAAAATTATTTTTTTTTAAGTTTATTGCACCTTGCGAATTTTTTATTATTTCTTACATAACAACAAATATCTCTCTTAAAAATTATTATTATTATTATTATTAAAATTGAATTTCGTACAAATTTAATTGCACGTCTTTTTTTTGTTACCGTTATTTTATAATAAAGATGGCGGTGGTCGGGTTCAATAGAAATATTGTTACGTTACGTGAAATATTATTTGTTTAATTATTATTATTATTATTATTATTACGTCTGTTGCCCTACATTAATTTATTTAACGAATAAAACGCAGATAAAATGAAAAAGAATTTTTTGTCACAAAAAAAAAAAAAAAATTTTCGCGTCATCGGCTCTCTTGTGCAAAGGAAATAAAAGACCTTGAAGTGACGTCATAGAAAACCATGATGGCTGCTCATTATGGCAACTTTGAATACTCGGGCTCGGTGTGTTACGACTGTTTTAAGTTTAGTTCTTAAATTGTTCGCTCGGAGAGTACTTGATTATTATACTTTATCCGCTCGTTCAAAGCCGGGTCGTATACGACCGACGACCGGGTTTAATTATTATTATTATTATTTTCTAGTGTTTAACTTGTGCTTTATTATTATTATTATGTTATAATATTAATAAGTATGGATTTATTAAGATTAATAATAATTACATAATTTTGTAGTTTTTATTTTGTGTGTTTTTGGGATGAATAAGGGATAAATATTAATAATGATGATAATAATTTCTCTTACTTGGCAAGCATTTATTTATTAATAACAATTATTTGACAGATAAGTCAAGTTTTTTTTTTAATAATTTTAATTCATTGAGCCACCTCGTCGGCTCATTGACATAATAATAATAATAATAATTAATAATTCTTTTTTCATTTATTTTATTAATTATTAACGTATTTGCTTTAACGATGAGTATATTCATTTAATTATTAATTAGTGTTAACGAAAAAAGTTTTTAGGTTTTTAAAATGCCCAGGAATCCTCTTAATTCCCAATTTCCTTATATACCCCCCATATCCCTCTACCCCCCATTTCCCCCTTTTTCTTTTTATTTCGTCATCAATGAATTACATTTAGGAAAAAAAAATTAAATTATACAGTTTAACGCCTTTTTTTTTTTTTTAAAATTTAATAACGTAAATTGTATCTGAAGCACTTGAAATATTATTATTATTATTAGACATAAATTAATAATCTTTTAGTTTTTTGTCTTTTTTTTTTTTGACTCGTCGCTAAAAAATTTTTTTTTTTTCTCTCTAATCTTATCTTTTCATCTTTAATTGTTGCCCAACGTCGGGTTTTATAAATAAATCCGTCATCTTATTCTTATCTTATGTCACGTAGTCACTTTGTATTGTTTTCTCCCTCTTTCTTTTTTTCCTAAAAAAACTCATTTGAGGAAATTTTTTTAATTTTAAAATAATTTCGATTTCAAAACGAATTTATTGAAATAACGTAATATTTTTTTTACCGACTTAGGCTTCTTATAAAAAAAAAAAAAAGTTGCGAGTTATTTTTCTTAACGTTGAAATTTTTTTCGTTAAATTTTTGTACGATAAGATAAACAATTAAAAGTTGACGTGAAAAAATTCGCACTTGCACAGGAAACGAAAAATTTTTTTTTCTTACAACCCCCTCCCCTCCCCCTCTTATACATAATTCTGTTTGAAAATTTTTATTAAAACTAGGTTTCGATTATATTGTCACGTGATTAAAAATAAAAAAAAAAAAAGTTTAGAGAACTTTTTTTTTTTTTTTTAATTAATGAACAACAGTTAGTTTTTATTGGTTATTTGATTTTTTTATTATTATTATTATTACTATCATTTCGTTTTATTCACAGGGGAAAAAAAAAAAAAAAAATTATTTTTTTTTTTATGGTCGATTTAAAAAAAAAAAAAAAAAATTTTGTCCGTTTAAATGATAAATGTCACGAGGAAAAAAAAAAAAAAAAAAATGAATAATTTTGTGGTTTGCATCCACCGCCACCGTCCCCGCATCTTTTCCTTATGATGATAAGGTTTTAACTAACGGTTGCTTCCACGACACACAACAACCACGACAACAACGACAACAACAACATGGAAAAAAAAGTTATTATTGTGACTAATGTTGTAAATCCGTGTTGTTGTTGTTTCTTTCACCTTTCGATTCTTTGTAAATGAAAAAAAAGGTATTATTTATTATTTGTGTTCAAATCCTCCGTTGTCTGTTAAATTACATTAACTCTATATAAAATTAAGTAATTTATTATTAAATAAAAAATTATTTTCAATACAACAACAACAACAACAAAAAAAGAAAAAAAAGTGCCCAAGTTGTTGTTAACTTTCCATATTCAGACACATACACAACCGGTCATGCAAGATGAAACTTTGTTTTTAAAATTTAAAAGTTTTATCTTTCTACATATTGTTGTTTTTTTTGCAGCATTTCATTATTATTATTATTGTTGTTGTTTTAAAAACATTTTCTAACAAATTTAATAATATCCAAATTTTTTTTTTTTGTAAGAACGAGGGGTTTAATTTTCATATCAGTTTAACTGATGGGTGTCACACTCTTAATGATAGGAATTACTTAAAATTTAAAAATAATAATAATAATAATAATAATAATTTAATGTCGGTGCTTTGTATGAAAAAAAAAAAAAAAAACTGCCACGTTTTCATAAGTGGAAACAACTTTTTTGTTGTTGTTGTGTCCTTTTAAATTTCTATTCCTCGTGTGGTAGAATTGATAAAAAATTATACTTTATAGTTGTTCCCATATTTCATTTATTATTATTATTATTATTATTATTTTTAAAAACCTTGTTAAAATTTTTTATTATATTCTCGTTTGAGTGTGTGTGAGAGAGAGAGAAGAAAAAGTTAAAAATTTGTGTTTTATAGCGAACGTATACTACTACTATTCAGGGTCGTTTCAGTTCATATTTATTTTTATTTTTTCTTCCATGCTAAAAATAAAT